TATATTTAATCTTTTGATTATTTTTTTGTCAAACAAAAATAATATCTACAATTGTATAACTCTTTTATGATGTGTGATAGTTTTCAAATACCTTTAATGATAAAATTATTTTTAAAGAGTTCATTGTTTCTTCTAAATAATTGCCATTTCTACTTGTTCAAACTGAATTAGATGTTGCTAAAAGAATAAACTTATCTCAGAAATATTCAATGGACTTAAAAACTGTTTTATGAAAGAAAAGTTGCTCTCGCCTTTCATTTTGTAGCTTGTCTATTTGAGACATACCTGTGTCTTTTAACAAGTTAATTGCTAGAATAAAGATTTTAGAAAATAAAAATGAAGATTTTAATGATATGAATTACATTTTAACCACTTTTTCATTCTTGTATTTCAGTTATTACACACAACCTCCTACTTTACAAACACAGCCTACATTTTAAATCAAAGTTATCATTTACTCATTATTTGAATTAATCTTTTAAGTCATCCATATTCCTCCTAGCTAGGAAACATAGTTAAGATGAGTCTTGCTAGGAAGAAAAAGCAAAACTTAAATCTTTCTAGCTTGCGAATCATTACTATTTATCAAAAACTTTGGAGAAATCAATTGGGTTGTAGATATAGCAGCATTATCTTAATTTTATTAATTACTGCTCATTCATAAATTTTCTTTTTGATCACATTATGGCACTACTATTCCTGCTAGTCTCAGCCCCTACAGCATTTAATCATAACATTGTTATTCTAATGTGACTAGTACTAAAGCACAGTAAAACTTTATGTACTAAATCTCTCCTGTTCAATTAAAATTTCTGCATTACATTTCTCTTATTCAGCTACTCAAAGTTTTCTCTTATGTTTTTCTAATTTCACGCAGTTGACTGCCATGTGGATTGGAGAGATCACCTGTACATTCTCGGAGCATGGGATACCTTGTGGTGTTTTATAGGATTCCATATATGTCCCAATTTTATACTCTATTTATACTGCAGATCTATTCAAAATTAATTTGAGCTCCTCTATTATGGTCTAACTAATTATCATCAGTCTATTATAACTATTAGCAGTTTCATCCCTTAACAAAGACCTTTAACAGTTACCTACTAGATCACTGAAAAAAGGGTTGAATCTGAATTCTGTGTCTGCAATGACTGCTCATGCCTGTTGCAGTGTGTTTGAGTTACAACCAAACTCTTTCATTATTTAAATATACTTAGTTGAGTAATACACATTTATGTTTCACTTGTATACCTACTCTCATTGTCATAATCACAATATAATTTCCTTGCATTTGCTGCAAATAAGGTATGAGAATGATCCATTCTCGTACTGTAGCCTTGTGGTTTAATGAGAGTTTCTACCTGAGAGACACAATACTATAGTCAGGAACTGACTTGTTTGCATGTGGGCAGCACGATGTCTTTGACTTATTTGTTTTTAACACATAGATGATAACAAATTATGCTGCAAGCAGAGAGTAGAGGGTTCATTGAGATGCAAATAGCTCCATGATGTTAGTCAATGTCTCACAGACTTGGGGAAGGAATTCATGCAAATTTCTAACTCTTCACTGCTTGAATTTTATCTCACAATGTAAAATTGTATTCTTTGTGTTAATATTAATGTTTAATCTATGTACATATTTATGAACCATATTTTTTAATAACTAGATGGTTTGTATTTTGGGATTAAATTTATTTTAAATATGATAATGAATGTTCCATAACATGAGTTTGTTCATTATGTAGTACTTTGGCCAGTCTGAAAATTAATTTTAATTTTAATTTTGCACAAGATTGTAATACTTATGTGCATGTATAAATATTTCTCATCTAGGATATGAGGAACCCAAGTGAGGAGCCACAGTAGACACATCCTGATCTCCCTTCCCAGGTTAAATTTTCATTGAGTTAATTCTTGGTGCACATCTTAGCATGAACTCAAATCAGGGGCCCCCCTACAGGTGTAAAGTGCATCACAGCAATCATGAGGCTACATGCCTTTTTTGCCAGGGAGCATTGTGGGCACACAGTGATTAGCCATTGTGGTTGAGGGTACTAAGTATTGTTAACTAAACACAAAATTTTTAATTACTTCATTTTATTAAATGATTCCAACAGGTAAAGTTGCCTGATGAATGTTTGTTGTTAACAACATAGGTAGCAAGGCATGTTAATGTATACATCATACTCTCAACTTTTCTCATCATACTCTCTTATTTTTTATATGTTTAGTTTTTGTTGTAATCAACATGTGAGATTAAACAATTTGTTAGCCTTGTAAGGAGGGTGACTCTTGAATTTATAATAATGATTAGTTTTATATTGAATTTTGATTCGTGAAATGGAATTCTAATGTTATAATTTGAATAATTTCAATCAGAGTGAATAAATATAGAAAATAACTCTATAAAGTTTTTGGCATAAAAATAATATTACAGTTTTCTTGCAGATTCAGTAGATGGTTAATTCAGTTTCAGAGAATTTCATGCAATAATTTTCAAGTAAAGGATTTATCATTCTAGCTGAAAATGCTACATAAGAAGAAAATGCTGATTTTTGCTATCTTTTTTATATGATTTGAATTTTATGATATATTTCTTGTCTAACTTCGAGAATCAATATTACTAATTTTGAATGCACGTAGAAATTGAAAGAAAACTATGCAGCCTCTAGACGTGTGAGAGTTGTTTATGGATTTGTTAGACCCCAAGAACTTGAGAAAAGTCCACAAACAATTACACAGTTTTGATTTTGATTGAAAAATTCAAGTATTTGACTGTCCTTTTCCACTTATTTTCTCATAGTGTGCGCCCTGACTCAATACACAAACTTGATATGTCATTGCTTAAGGCACAGTGAATGTTGTGTGACACAAAGACTTCCAGGAAGATTCCATGTCCTGCTAAATATTTGCATTTCATGTGTTGCAATATGTAACAGAATTGTTTTGATGTTCTTTGAATGTAATGAACTGTTAAACTGTGTATCTGTATATACTATACAACGTTATTGTAGGTGTTATGAATACTGTTTTGTTAAAATATTTAATTTATTCTAATACTTTATTTGTTCATCTCCAGCAATGTGCAATTTTTGAAAAAACATTTTGTATGGTTTTGTTCAGCAAAATGTTTGGCGCTGCAGGCAACTAGTAGTACAGAAATCTGAATTTTACTGACGAATTATATAAGAAAATTATGTACGATTTGAGAAATTCAACTGATAATTTTCTTTGATGTTCAAGATCTTTCTACAGAACAAATGCTTACTACAAGACAATTGTTTGGGAATATCCACTTTGAAGAATTTGTCTTGGGGTAGTGTTCCCCTTTGATTTTATTATGTTACATCACTGATTATCAAGAATCCTTATCAGATAATAATCAAGGTATATAACTCTGATTACCAAAAAATTTGTTGACTACTTCCATGAAGTTCATCTATACTGCTTCTTTTTTCATGTTGGCCAGTTCAGGAAATGTTTGAGATGTGATGAAGCATCTTACTTGCCTCCAAGAATGATGCTAGCATTTATTTTCAGTCAGTTTAGGGAATAAGTTTATTAAGGTGAGATTCTATCAAATTTCTGTGCTTGACAGAGATGAATCAATGTTGTAATAAATTTAGTTAAGCACCATGAATTACTGTCATGTGACTCATATTAGGATAACTCCCAGATGTTTCTAGGCTTTCGTGTTGCCAAAGCTCATTCAATTGTCATGGCACATTAATATTAGCTGGAGTGCCAAGGGGAAGACCAAGGGAGAGAAGAAGAAGCTGAAGAAGGAGGAGGAGGAAGAGAAGAAGGAGGAGGAGGAGAAAAAGGATGAGGAAGAGAAGCAGAAGGAGGAGGAGCAGGAGGAAAAGAAGAAGAATAAGAAGCTGAAGATAAAGAAGAAAAATAAGTAATCCTGGGACAGCATGGCTCTTGATAACTAGTTGCTTAATAAGGTGAAGATGAAAGTGAACGAAGATTTATATAATGTGTTTGAGGTGGGGGGGGGGGGGGGATTCCTCACCCCAATATAAACTTTTTTCCTCCTCCCCAAGTAGTATTTCAATTATGAACACCTTCTTTTTAAAAAATCAACAACAAACTTTAAAGAAATATTTACAAACTACGTCAGAGGGAGAGAGTGAAATAAGCCCCCCTCCTTGAAATAATTGCTGTATCTGTCCCTGCAAAAGCAAAGTTTGGGGGTATGCATTCTGCCAACTTGTGAATTCTTTAAAAGTGAAACTAAATTATAAACTTGGAGGAGGAGTTTAAGTTGTTGTTGTTGTTTTTTTTCTTCATTTTTTTTTTCAGTAATTAGAAAATCAGGCAACATTTAAAATTAAACAGTTACTGAAATAAAATGTAGTTGTACTTATCAAAATCTTGCTGCAAAGCAGATATGTATCGCCATGAAGGCTCCTGAAGCATTCTCATGCTACTAATATGAATGTCAACATTGATAAAATCTTGTAAAGAAATTTCATTAATTATGATTGTTATTAATGAAATTATTTTCCTTAAATATCACCATATTATGTAAAAAAAAATTTTTTTATACATAAAAAATTACTTTTTACTTTGGGCCAATTAGTGTGTGTGTTCTTGGATTGGAATGTACATGATTGTTCACAAGAGGGCAAATATTACTAAAAAGAAAGAAAATGATGATAAAAGGCAATACACAACTTTTGTTCACCATTGCAAAAGACTACTGAACCTTTGAATTTGTTTCACAATTCTTACATTTTAAAATTACTATGATTGAATTATATATATTACTCTGATAAATAACCCCAAATAGAAATGGAGAAATTGACCTAAAATCATATCACACTGACTACATTTGGACTACAATGACTTCATCCAATGCATTATTTAAAGAATAATTACATTTTATTAACTTGAAATAATTTTTACATTTAAGTTGTTTATTCTTATCATAAAATAGATAAAGAATATAATACATACAACAATATTAGATAGTCAATATAGTTTATTACATGTGATTTTTCTGATGATCAGTTAGTCTAGTTTTAGATACAAATGCCATACTGCATACATGACATTTATATGGTTTCTCCCCAGTATGATACCTCTTATGTATTACAAGAGATGATCGCTGAGTAAATGTTTTATTACAGTGTTCACAAGTGTAAGGTTTTTCCCCTGTATGAGTTCTTTCATGAATTCGCAGTGTACCAGTTCTTCCAAATGTCTTTCCACACACACTACATGCATAAGGTTTTTCTCCTGTGTGTATACGACGATGCAGCTGTAATGCTGTGTTACTAGTGAGAGCTTTTCCACACAGATCACACAGATATGTCAAGTTTTCACCTGAATGAGAACTTATGTGCCTCTGAAATGATTTTTTATACCCAAATGTTTTTCCACATGTCTGACATTTGAAGGGATTCAGATCACTCAGAAGTTCTGCATGAACTGATCGTTGGTGAGCCAAGAGATCATTTCTTTGTCTGTATGCTTTTCCACATATATCACATTGATACGGCTTCTCTCCAGTGTGAATTCTTGTGTGAATCTGCAATTCACCTTTTGTGAAATGTCCCTTCCCACATATTTCACATTTGAACATGAAATCACGTCCATGCCTCTTCTCGTGAGCTACAAGATTTGCTTTGTAGGCAGTTCTATAATCACAAGTACTACAAACAAAATTTTTCTTGCCAGTGTGGACTTCCTTATGATATTTTAGTTCAGTAGATGTCCGATACGATTTATGGCAAACATCACACGAAAACGGTCTATGTTTAACATGTGTTCGCATATGATTTCTTAAATGTCTATTGGTAACAAATACTTTTTCACAAAGACCACACTTGATTTCTTCTCCATTATGTGAGCGGAGATGAAAACGGAGTATGTTCCTGCTGCTGAAAGAACTACCACACATATTACATGCATGTTCTTCATTTTTGTCTCCTGATTTTTTCTGTTTCCCTTGGTTCCCTTTCTCCTTTGGTGTAGGAGTTTCTTTACCACACAGAATTGTGCTTCTTCCAGCACACACATCTTGACTTTTATCAAAAGTTGACCTAAAAAGAAGAAAATTTTGTCATAATCGAGTAATTTCATGCAATGAAAAATCTTTAATTTCAATAAAAGTAATTACTAATTAATAGTAAAACTCATCATGGTACCATAATAGTGATAGTACACACAGGAAATATTCCTACATGTATATAAAATGCATATTTAGAAAGAGCTGCTTCTAACACAGAATATAAGCCAAAAGCAGAGGGTAGAAAAACTTTTAAGTATTTAATGAAATTGTAAACAATATTTCTTCTTGAAATATATATAATTTGGAGACCCTGTGTTGACACAGTGTGTCAAGACACAAGTGCGACATATTATTTCATCACTTCCTCCAACAGGAATTTGGGGAAAATGTTCAACTCTTTAAAAGCAACTATTCTCCCAACAACTCTTTATATTTCTCATAAAATTTCTTAAAATTTTTTTTATGAAAAATATACTTTTTTTAAAGTTAATAACAATTAATTTTTAACAAAGGAAAAGAAAATATTTAACGTTTGACTTCTCCAATTTTGGTTTCCTATCTTTCTTCTTTTTTTTCCACAAGATAAAAAAGATCATGATTTGATATATGACATAAAACTGGAAACTGAAATGTAAATTCAATACCTTTCCAAAAATTAGTACAGTGCAAATAAATGTAAAAGAAATTTGTAGAAAGTTGAAGCTGAATGTTACATCAAAATTTCACTAGGTTGCACAAAAGAAATTTGAACATAAAGTAGTTACATAAAAAGGTTTCTTCATCAACAAAGGAAGAATCCTAAAAGAGATTCGTAAATGAATTTATTTTGATTTTAAGAACACATAGTTTCAAGGTGGGTATGTCTCTATTTGAATACATTAAGTTTAATTTGGTGATATGTAGTTTAAATTTAGGCATCTTTTGAAGGTAACACACTCACCACTATGGAAGTATTAACATAGTTGAAATTGTCTGAAGTTACAATACAAAGAAAAACGAGAGAAAGTAAGAAAGTAAAGGTTAAGAGGTACTATTTCCAAATATATGGCTGATATAGAGAACAATAAAGTTATTTATTTACATCTAAACACTAAGGGAATTGTGACGTTAAGGGTGAAGAAAGGTTACAATTAATCTTCAGAAGCAAAGCAAGAGACCATCTCAGCTTTTGCATAAGGATTTAGCAATTTTCACATTGGATCAAGGGGAACTCGATCGAGATGGGGATTATAAACCCAAAACAAACTAGCATCATCAGTGTTATTTTGATAGTAAAACAGTGTAAAAGCACCATTTTTTTAAAGATGAGAGAGAGGGACTAGGAGACAAAAAGAAAGAGGAGAGAGAGGCAGGATCATAATATTGGACCAGAAAATATACTGACAGAATAAAGACAGAAATACATGGAAAAAACAATATAACAATATATTTTCAACATGTTGACTGCCAAGCAGCAATAGGTGAATTATTGCTTGGGGTTAAATGTAAGCTAGTGGGGCTATAGGATTGTCAAGACATTCTCGTATTGGTCAGTTTTCTATTCTCTTGAGTCTGGACTAGCTTTTTTGGATTTTTCCCATTCTCTACTGAGCTGCTTTTAATTGGTGCCTAAAGAACATACCAGGTCTTTCATGGAACCTACACTGCTACTCTGGGGTTTCACAGTGAAGAGCAGCTTTGCACATCCTGAACTTTGCCTAGGCTTATCTTGGTTCTCTACCTTTTTTTTTATCTGTCAGTATTAAGAGTTTATAGAAGAATTAAGATACACACATAATACATGACAGATGATTGGATGGATGGAAGTAAGTATCATGCATAACTTGGTCAGATTATAAGCTTTTGAGCTAAAAATAGGTAAATAAGTCAGGAGTTAGATCTAGTTGCACTGTTAGGGAGGTCATTTAAATATTTTTATCTTTGGGAGCACTTTACATGAAGCTCTCATGTAATTTTCAAAATTTTCTGGAAAATTATTGCAATTCCATTCCCACCCCATCTCAAATACTACAAAGACTGTATATAAAAATGATATAAATCTTCAATAAACCATTGAAATTTTGAAAATTAATTTTTTAACCTGCCCTACATTTCTAATATTAAAGTCAAAGATTTTTATCTCCATGCAAATAATCTCTCCATTTTATATCTTTAAATGATGCAATTTAAAAAAAAGAGAATAAATGTTGAACTATTCACACTGATGACGAAAACGTTTCGGAAGTAGTGCTTTCCCTCTAGAAAAACACACCGTACACACGTGCTCGGATGTGTGTGTGTGTGTGTGTGTAAGGGACAAGGAGGGAACAAGGATGAGTAAGTCCGTTTGTGAAGGGACTACTCTAGCAATCGTCTGGTGTTGATCGGAGAAACCTCGGAAAACTACTGATCAGAGCAGCCGGCCACAAGAATTCTCCTCCGGGGGGGGGTGGCTCGCTGCATAGCAGAGGGGGGCCACGCCGGCGTTGGACTCCGAGGGGTACACAAATCTTCAATCTTTGAAACACGCTGCATCCTAATGTTATGAATTTCGCGTGTTATTGAAAATTCAGAAGTTCAGTCAATTCTTAATTACACTGAATGGTTTATTTATGATTTGTGGCGAATTTATTTTCATTTGACGTTGCTTTGTTTGACGTAGCGTTGTTTATACAAAATGTGTATGTGATGAGTGCAATTTCCTTTGTTTAAAGTTGGCCTGGAAGAAAGCATCTCTTTGTGACCCTTTTTTTCAAAGTGAGTCCAATGCTCTTTCCGGCAGTTATTTGTCGCGAGCGTTGTGAATACAAGTGTGTGGAAGATCTCGATACTAATTGTATAAATATTATTTAATTTTTCAAAATTTAAATAAACTGGAAACGATTTTAAAAAACTGGAGGGTGGTGTCGCGATTCAGATTCGGATTCAGCGCGTTGACATACAGAAAAATGTCAAGTCTTTGGGCCTGTCAACTGTGTGTGTGTGTGTGTGTGTGTGTGAGAGAGAGAGAGAGAGAGAGAGAGAGAGAGAGAGAGAGAGAGAGTGCGCGCGCGCGCCTGTGTTAAGTACAAGTGTGTTTTTATGTATATTCCTCCATTTTTCAATAAAATAATGTATTCGTGTGTATTATATTGTTCAGTTCGTCAGAAGCAGTTTTACTTCTTTATCGTGACAATTCATAGCTACTTTATTACAAGGTTGTAACATTGAGCCATTTCACCTACTCCGGACAAGTAAGTAAACAGCCTACCAAAGCGATCGATAAAATAGTTGTTTTAGTCATTATTTTATTTGTCAAATTATTATGTTTCATAACCGTAACGTTTTTAAATACTCGTAATCCGACACAGGAGGAAGCTAACCACAATTTGGAGCCCCTTTTCTTTACTTACACAAGACATTTTATTAGTAAATAATGAAAACATCATTCAAGGAGAACTAATTTTTTGCTTTAATCATACAAAGAATGAATACAATTGATTTTTCGGTGAACCATTTACGGGATTGCTAGATGGCTTAAAGAGCCTCTTCCACAATGTCACAAAATAATTCCCCAAATTGTCAGGTTAAAAAGGAGCAATGTAGATACTGAATGTATATACGGAGAAAATGTTTTATTACGCAACGCGATGGAAGTCCCTTCCAACAAGTGGCGTAACGCTCGGGCCCGCAAGGCCGGTGGGCCCAGGCAAATCAAGGCCTGATCAAAGGGAATAGTTTTATTATTTAACTGCAAACAAATTGTGTTTACTTTTGTAAAGGGGGCCCAGATAAAAATTTTGCGGGCGGGCCCGCACTCATTTCATTACGTTGCTGCTTCCAATGTTTCTAGGGCGCCTGGCCAGAAGCGCGCACGCTTATGTAGTCCGGACAAGTGTCGCCTTCATGAGACCGGGGCTTATTGTAGGTCCGATCAAGTACGACACTAAGGCTGTGGAGTCGAACCCGCGAAAGGTATTTTTTTTCCGTTGTGTTCTCCAGTATGTGTGTGTATGGGGGGGGGGAGGCATTTCCAGTAGTCTGTGTATCACATCAATATTCTAATCCTTCCATAATCTCTTAGCCAGCTTGGTAACTGTGCAAACTGCCTGTAAGTGTAACGCACGAACGTCTTTCTGGTGTCTCGTAAAGCTTCATTGCCTTTGTGCAAATGCTGTCTTCTTTTAGTCAGTTTTGGCATCATCACTAGTGTGCGTGTCATTTTAAAGTGAACTTAATCGTGCGGTAATCGCCAAAAACACGGATTGAAATTAACCTAGTAATTTGCACTAAAATGTTACAATGTGTGTCTTCTTATCACAAGCTGAAATCTGTGCCGCGCGCCAAGTAGTATTTTTAAAATCAAGTTGTCTCGTGCGCCAGCTGAACCATTTTCGTGCGTGCTCGAGTGCACGTAGAATGTTGGTTGCTGCTAGTAAATGACAACTGCTGTGTGGACACACTCTACCAATCTGTCAGTCTACAGGATACCAGAACTTCACGCACATTGTTTATGTCAAATGTATGTGATTCTTTTGCAGAAGTTGAAGCATTTGATGTAAATAAATTTTATTTTCTTCTGATCACATTTTTTCGCGTGAACATAGTACGGAGGAATCCGCAACCCACGTCCCATTCAAATTACTTTACGGAGCTCTTACGTGATTGGCTGGTGTATTTAATACATCACACAGTGCATTTTGTCATGTACCCATGACAATTTCCTTCATCGATCCTCTACACTTTTTCTATAATTACTGCATACAAAATAATCACATCATAAATATTTACATATAAATAATTTGATAAACAAAGAATATTACCAAACGTTTTACAAAAAAATGATTTATTAGTCGTTTTTTTATATCATGTACTATTACAGGAATAATTTTTAATGTTTACAAATATGAACAAGTATTTAGATATTTTGAACATTAGTATATAACAATTAACGATTTAATTTATATTGTATTGTAATCAGTAGAATTATGATTGCACCAATCAGATGCAAGTGAATATTCGTCTATCGACCCGCGTAGTGGCGGTGGAGATGGAGGAATAGGCACGTATGCA